GGGAGAGAACAAGGGACCTGAACAGCGCCACCCTTGGAGAACAGTGAAAGTGAAGAGAGACGGTAAGATGAATGAACGGAAGGAGATAATCGAGAGGGTGATAACGGGGAGGGTGAAGGGGGGGAGGGGGGTGAGCAGGGAGAATGATTGTGGAAGTGAGAGATACGGAGATAAAAGAGTGGGGAAGTAAAGAAGGGTGGGAGGGAAAGGTGAGAGAGAGAGAGAGAGAGAGAGAGAGAGAGAGAGAGAGAGAGAGAGAGAGAGAGAGAGAGAGAGAGAGAGAGAGAGGGGGGGGGGGGGGGGTAGGCAGATAGACAGACAGACTAGAGAGACAGAGAAAGACAGAGGCAGATATAGAGATAGAGAGAGAAAAATAGGAATGAGAGGGAGAGAGAGAAACAGAAACGGAGATAGGGACAGAGAAAGAAAATAAGAATGAAAGAAAGACAGAGAAAGAAAATATGAGAAAGAGAGACAGAGAAAGAAATTATGAGAAAAAAACAGAGACAGAGAAAGAAAATAAGAGAAAGACAGAGACAGAGAAAGAAAATATGAGAGAGACAGAGACAGATAGAAAATAAGAATGAGAGAGAGAGAGAGAGAGAGAGAGAGAGAGCGAGAGAGAGAGAGAGAGGAGGGTGTGGTCCATTAGTATGCCAGGGCGGGGGAGATGGGCGGGCACCCACCGGTGGTCAGTCAGCCCTGAGTTCGAACTCTTCATGGCTCCGTTGCCTCCGTTGCCCGCGTGAGAGACCGAAAAAAAAAGTGTTGCTTGTTGTCGATGGGGAGGGTTCGTTGTTGGTGCTGGTGTTTTTGTTGTTTGTTTTCTATGTTGTTGTTATTGTTGCTGTTTATTATTATTATTATTGTTATTGTTATTATTATTATTATTATTATTATTATTATTATTATTATTATTTTTATTATTATTTTTATTATTACTATTATTATTGTTACTACTACTATTACTATTACTCATACTATTGCTATTGCTATTACTGCTACTACTACTACTACTACTAATGATATTAATGATAGTAATGATAATAATGATGATAATAATACTACTGTTGTTAGTATTGGTAGTAATAGTAGGACTAGGAATATAAGTAGTAGCAGCAGTAGTAAACATTAACCGTCTATTCTTCTTCTTCTTCTTTTCATTGTTATTATTATTATTATTATTTTTCCTGTTGGTCTGTTGGGAAGGGAAGGGAGAGACGGGAGAGGGTAGACAATTAAGAGATTGGTTTAGCCAAAGAGGCAGGGGAGGGGGAGAGGGGGGGTGGAGAGGAAGGGAGGGGAGGGTGAAAGGAGAAAGAGTCGGGGGAGGGGGAGGGTGAAATGTAAGAGGGAGGGAGAGGGTGAAGGGAGAAAGAGGCAGGGGAAGGGAGGGGGAAGTGGGAGAGGGAGAGAGAGAGGGTGGGGGAGGGGAGGAGAGGGTGAAGGGAGAAAGAGGCAGGGGAAGGGAGGGGGAAGTGGGAGAGGGAGAGAGAGAGGGTGGGGGAGGGGAGGAGAGGGTGAAGGGAGAAAGAAGCAGGGGAAGGGAGGGGGAAGTGGGAGAGGGAGAGGGAGAGGGAGGGGGGAGCGTAGGTAACACGTGTTTGGGTGGTCTGTACTCATAGGGTGAAGGGGGAAGGGGGGGGGAGTGTCACACTACTCACAGGCAGGGTGATAGTCGGTCCTGTTGGGACTTGGATTTCGAGGTGAGGGGGGGGGGTGGAGGGGAAGGGAGGAGTATTTGTATGTTGGGTTAATATGTATGTGTTTATGTTTGGTTGGGAGGGGAGGGATTTATGTGTTTTGTTTGTTTGTTCAGAGGGGAATCTGTGTACGTGTGTTTGTTGCGAGGGAGTTGTTTGTGTGTGTGTTTATATATTTGTTGTGAGAAGGGGAACGTGTATGTACGTTTGTCTCTGTAAGTATGTGGCTTTGTCTGACTGATGAACGATTTAGTGTCTGTCTGTCTGAAGATCATACGTGCCTAGCTGCGGGGAGCTTGTTATAAGGCCGTGTGTAGCTAATTAAACCCGCCGTTATGTGTGCTAAAACGTAGGTACGAGCGTGCGTAAGCTTCCATGTACTACATCCAGTACGTAATACGTTTTTCATAAGAGTCAACAGCACACGACTGGAAAGTGCAGGTGTGCTGTTGGGCAACATTGCACCCCCCCCTTCTCCTGCCCCCACAACCTCCTCCCCACTCTTGCATCCCCCCACCCCACCCCACATACACACAGCCCCAGGTCCCTACCCCCTCCTGCCCCCACAGCCTCCTCCCCACTCTCTCCCTACCCCCCATCCCCCCCACACACAGCCCCAGGTCCCTACCCCCTCTTGCCCCCACAGCCTCCTCCCCACTCTCTCCCTCCCCCCATCCCCCCCCACACACAGTTCCAGGCCCCTACCCCCTTCTGCCCCCACAGCCCCCAACTCCCTCTCCCTCTCCCCCCCCTTCTCGCTCCAACATAATGTACACGGCGCAAGGTCGTTTCTGAGTGTACAGCATTTAGGTGACTTGTACGTTGATGCCAGCTCTTGCGAAGGGGGGTGGGGGGGAGATAGAGAGGCTTATATACTCCTATTTGCATATTGTAATTTATCTCTACGATCTTCTACCCTGTTTTATATCCCCGATTTTTTTTTTCTCTTTTTTCTTTCTTTCTTTTATTTCTTTCTTTTGATTCACAGCAGAGGTTTTGGAAGGCGAAGGAGAAAGGGCGGACTCGTGTTTCAGCCGAGTTGTTTTTGTTGTTGTTCTGGGCGGGGTTCGACCAGGCTGACGAAGGCGGGGGGGGGGGGGATCAGGCGTTCGCTTCAGCCGGAAATGTCTTGGCGATGTCTTGGCTCTTGTTTATCCTGATATCCTTGTGCATTATGTCTCATAATTATATATATATATATATATATATATATATATATATATATATATATATATATATATATATGTATGTATATGTATATATATAAATGTATATATGTATATATATACATATACACATGAATGCATACATACATACATACATGCATACATACGTATATACATAGATACATCGAGTGTGTGTGTGTGTGTATAGGTTATTATATAAGGATTTATTGCTGTGTTGGTATATGTAATCTGTATATAATGGTGCTAATGTAGTTACCATTATTATTCAGTTAAATGGGTACAATGTCTACATTCTCACCATCATAGCAATAGATCTTCATCCCCATCAAGTCACATCGAGTCACATCGAGTCACCATCGAGTCACCATCGAGTCACCATCGAGTCACCATCGAGTCACCATCAAGTCACCATCGAGTCATCATCGAGTCACCATCAAGTCACCATCAAGTCACATCGAGTCACATCGAGTCACCATCAAGTCACCATCAAGTCATCATCGAGTCACCATCGAGTCACCATCGAGTCACCATCAAGTCACCATCGAGTCACCATCAAGTCACCATCGAGTCACCATCGAGTCAGCATCAAGTCACATCAAGTCACATCGAGTCACATCAAGTCATCATCGAGTCACCATCGAGTCAGCATCAAGTCACATCAAGTCATCATCGAGTCACATCGAGTCACATCGAGTCACATCGAGTCACATCGAGTCACATCGAGTCACCATCGAGTCAGCATCAAGTCACATCAAGTCATCATCGAGTCACATCGAGTCACATCAAGTCATCATCGAGTCACATCGAGTCACCATCGAGTCACATCAAGTCATCATCGAGTCACATCGAGTCACCATCAAGTCACATCGAGCCACATCGAGTCACATCAAGTCACCATCGAGTCACATCAAGTCACATCGAGTCACCATCAAGTCACATCGAGTCACCATCAAGTCACCATCAAGTCATCATCGAGTCACATCAAGTCATCATCGAGTCACATCGAGTCACATCGAGTCACATCGAGTCACCATCGAGTCACATCGAGTCACATCGAGTCACATCGAGTCACATCGAGTCACATCGAGTCACATCGAGTCACCATCGAGTCACATCAAGTCATCATCGAGTCACATCGAGTCACATCAAGTCATCATCGAGTCACCATCGAGTCAGCATCAAGTCACATCAAGTCATCATCGAGTCACATCGAGTCACATCAAGTCATCATCGAGTCACATCGAGTCACATCAAGTCATCATCGAGTCACATCGAGTCACATCAAGTCATCATCGAGTCACATCGAGTCACCATCAAGTCACATCAAGTCATCATCGAGTCACATCGAGTCACATCAAGTCATCATCGAGTCACCATCGAGTCAGCATCAAGTCACATCAAGTCATCATCGAGTCACATCGAGTCACATCAAGTCATCATCGAGTCACATCGAGTCACATCGAGTCACATCGAGTCACATCAAGTCATCATCGAGTCACATCGAGTCACATCGAGTCACATCGAGTCACATCAAGTCATCATCGAGTCACATCGAGTCACCATCGAGTCACCATCAAGTCACATCGAGTCACATCAAGTCACCATCGAGTCACCATCGAGTCACATCGAGTCACATCAAGTCACCATCGAGTCATCATCGAGTCACCATCGAGTCACCATCGAGTCACATCGAGTCACCATCGACCATCACACGACAGTCACAGTGAACATCACCATCAAGTCACCTTCGCGCCACTATCGACTAACCATCGAGTCACCATCAAGTCACATCGAGTCACCATCGAGTCACATCGAGTCACCATCAAGTCACATCGAGTCACCATCAAGTCACATCAAATCACCATCGAGTCACATCGAGTCACCATCAAGTCACCATCGAGTCAGCATCAAGTCACATCAAGTCATCATCGAGTCACATCGAGTCACCATCAAGTCACATCGAGTCACATCAAATCACCATCGAGTCACCATCAAGTCACCATCGAGTCAGCATCAAGTCACATCAAGTCATCATCGAGTCACATCGAATCACCATCACCGAATTAACACACATACAAATGGTTCGAGACAGAACGGCGCCTCGTGGTGACCGTGGGAAAGCGAAGGCGATCCCAGGATGAGGGGGGGGGAGAGGGAGAGAGAGAGAGAGTGGGAGGGGGAGTGGGGTTGGGAAGAGGGTAAAGGGGGAGGGAGTGGGCGTGATAGTGGGGGGGAGGGAGGGAGATAAGGAGAGGGATGGGGGATAAGGGGAGGGGGTGTTAGAGGGAGAGGGGGGAGGGAAGGAGGGAGAGGGAGTGGGAGTGTAAAAGGGAGTGGGAGAACGAGTGATAGGAAGAGGGAGAAGGAGAGATAGGTGGAAAAGGAAGATGGATAGAATGGTTAGGAAAAAGGATAGGGAAGGATGGAGAGAGTGAAAAGAAGGAGGGAAGCATGAAGAAAAGAGAGAAAGAGAAAGATGAAGAAAAGAAAAATTCAGGAAGTAAAATTTTAAAGAGAAAAGTGGGAACAAAAATAGGAAGAGGAAAAGAGGGATGGAGGGAAATTCATTAATAATAAATAATAAAATAACGAAAGAAGCGGGGGAATAGGAAGGAATAGGAAGAGAAGAAAAATGAGAGAAAAACGGAAAGAGAAAGAAAAGAAGAAAGAGAGAAACGAAGAGAGAGAAAAAAGGAAGAACGAGAGAGAAACAAATAGAGAAAGAAAGGAAGAAAGAAGACAGAAGCTTCAAGAAAAATGTACCCTAACATGTTAATTAACAATAACAACTGATATTTAAATGCGAATAACTTAATTAAGAAAAAATTAAGAAGAAAAATAATATATATATATAAGAAGACGGAGCCAAGATCGCGTGGTGGCCGTGACCGTGACAAAGCTGTTTTTTAAAGGGGGGGGGGTGGTTGTGAGGGGGGGTGGGGGGGGGGAGAAGGAATCGGGAGGAAAAGGAATATGCTATTTGGTTGCTCGGTTGTTTTTTTTGAGCTGCGAGTTTCTCTTTTTGTTATTTTTGATTCTTCTTGTGATCAGGTTGCCCCCGTGTTTTGCTAGAAAATTGTATATGCATGTGTTTATCTATCTGTCTATCTATATATAGATATAGATTTAAATAGATATATGGATGTATTATATAATATATGTATGTGTGTGTGTGTGTGTGTGTGTGAATAGCTATATGATAATAAATGGAAACAGTATCAACAGTAAACCCACAACATCAACAACAACAACAACAACAACAACAGCAACATCACCGCCAACCCGCAAAACAACAACAACAACAACAACTACAACAACTACAGCAACAACAGCAACATCACCGCCAACCCGCAAAACAACAACAACAACAACAACATCAACATCCACCTCAACAACCCTAATGACTAATGATAACACTAACGAACACAAATGCAGTTAGTCTATCAAGGTAGTACAAGTGCAATCAAAAGACAAAATCCCTAAGTCTAGACGAACACAAAGTGGGTTTATTGTTGACATTTATATGCAGATGAGGAAGGCAGCGGAGAAGAGTTTATTTTTATGTTTAGTTTTGGTCGATAAAAAGCCAGGCGGTTTCACCTCAAGTGTGCATTGTCTGGGGGTGTCTGCTGTGTGTGTGTGTGTGTGTGTGTGTGTGTGTGTGTGTGTGTGTGTGTGTGTGTGTGTGTGTGTGTGAAGAGGAGGGGATGGGATGGGGGGGCGTGTCTGTATGTATGTGTGTGTGTGTGTGTGTGTGTGTGTGTCTGCGTATGTAAGGGGTGGACATATGTATATACGGTATATATAGAGTGTATATATATATGTATACATGTGTGTGTGTATATATACATTCAGCTGTAAGCTCGGTTGTTTTCTGGCTCTTTGCATGCTCCAAAATGTAAACATTTCATCTAGAAATTATAGATATGACACGTGTAAGGTCTTGGCTATGCATCCCATACCCCCAGACATTGCGCTTGTTCCGATACATATCAGAAACACGATTCTCTGAGTTCGGACAGCACTTTTACGCGAGACACCCCTTCGAAAATGGACATCTTTCCACGACATCCCGAAGAAAACGTGAAAAGAAAATGGGCGGTTGCGATGTCTGGGCACTAGATTTGGGTTTACTACTGTTGTCTAGATACTAGGTTGAGTATATAACAAGAGCCACCTCGTTAAGGGTCTACGGCATACCGTTAGCTGAATATTCCTAGCCCGTTAAACCGGCAAGATATCTCTGGGGAACCGTTAGGCGTCAAGGATTGGCTGTCGCGGATTTCGGGCATTTTTTTAAAAAAAACTTTTTTTTTTTCCTCCTTTTTTTATTCTTTATCTTCAGGGGATAGGGAACGGAGGAGATGAATATTCAATTATTGCCTTTGGATGATGAAGCGGAGTGTTTGCATGTCTGTTTTTCTCTTTCTCTCTCGATTTTTATTTCTTTTTTTTTATTTCTTTATTTTCTTTTTATTTTTTTTTAATTTTTTTCATAACCACGCATGACTTTTGTGACTTGTGGTTTGAAATGTAGTCATAGGATAACTATGAATAGCGGGAAAGAAAAAAAATATATATTATCTATCGATAGCGTTATCGCTGATGAT